ATTATTATTATTATTATTATTATTATTATTATTATTATTATTATTATTATTATTATTATTATTATACCATTATTATGTTATTACAGATTAGATTCATTATGTGTCATAGATCTAAACAAAAATTGATAGAACGAAAGTGACTGGTCTGGAAGGACATAGGACGGTCCTCAGGGAACACCCAGTGTCCCTATTGGTGCGCGGACTCGAGAACTCCCTTTACTCTTTTTCTTCTTCCCCTACCGTTAACTTTACGCCGCCCGTCCGAATCGCACTATGGACAGAGAATAAGCACAATAGGATAATACGAGAGATGAAGGTCGGTAGAACAACCGGTCCAGATGGGTTACCAATCGGGAAGCATGGGAAATGCTCAAAGAGTTCGGGACTAGGTGGTACCCCCAATTACTGAACGCTGTGACCATCAAAACCTTTCCCTACACCGTGGCACATTTGTTGGCTCCACCCTTGTGGATGGACAGCGATACATTTTAGAAACCTCCTATTCTTCTCATCATTCCATTTTTTGAAATATTTTTGTTTATTTACTTGATTATTTCTTTGAGAAAAATTAAAACTGTCTCCGAAAATATATGGTATAGATAGTAGTTCCTAAGCATCCTCTACCACTCCAAAATGTCGCCTGCCATCGTGATTCCAGTCATGAAAGCCAAGTAGAATAAAATAGCTTTGCAATTTTTTAATTTGAAAAAAACATTCAGATGCCAATTTTGGACACGGAATCGAAATGGGATCGATTAGCCAAGGGCTACTATCAGAAGTGCCTTGACGAAGGTTCGTTTTCGGCTTGTTGGCTCTCGATTTACCTCTAAATATTCCGTATTTCAGAAGAATTGGAAAGGACCGGTTTGACAGCTATCCGAGAAATCGTTGATTGGGTTGGAGGCTGGCCAACACTTCAAGGTTATTTTTGTCTAGACGCCGTATTTTTTCACAAAAGAAACACATAAACCCACAGGAAAATTTGTTTTTCAAGGAACTAACTGGAAGGAATGGGATTACTCATGGGAACAACAGTTGGCATTATTGATGAATCGAACCGGTGTGAATGCCGTCATACTGGAACTGGCTGTCACTCATGATCCGGCAAATAGCACGAATACCGTAATTGAGGTTGTCAA